TGTCCACCCTGTCGGCCATTTAGATTTGATAGAGTGGACATACAAATGACAGGGTGGACATAGCATTCATTTGACAGGGTGGACATATCTTATGGTTTATGCTTCGAATAATGGCCCATAATTATGTTTCTATAGTACTTGAGTCTACTATTTATGATATGACAAAGCGAATGGGAAATTAAAACTAAAATATTTGAGTATTGTGAGGGTTGAAAGGCACTCTATGGTGATATTGGCCCAGGTAGTACACACACCAGATGCATCGCGTTCACTTCAAGGTTTGGTCTAAAACAGTTTATTTAATCACCAAACGGGCAAAATGAACAATGTGACATAGATGAGTCCGAAGTTCTGTGTTTAGGGCCGCACCGATATATCGAAATTATCGAAATATCGCAAATGTAAATATCGCGAGATGCATATCGCAATGGCGTGCGATATCTGAATCATTTTAATAATAGGCTACTTAAATCAAAACGTTGCAAAAGGTCAAAGTTTTAGTTCGATGCATATAGCAGAGAATTGCTTGACGTTAAAAAGAGTTAAGTGCAATAAGTTGCAGAAAACAACTCTTTGCCATCTCGTCTTGCTGTCTGACTCACACCTGAAGCGCGCGCAGAAGCCGCATCTCGCGCAGCGTCTCTTCAGTTCTGCCGCACACGTGTAAAGCGCGCGCACACACACACACACACACACAGGCGCGTTTCAGATGGCGCGCGAACATCGATTGTGTATTTGTTCTTTTTTCCCCCTTTTTCTTTCTTTTTTTTTCTGACTGTTCACTTGCCTTTAAATCATGTTTGAACTTTCTCAGACTATAGTTTTTGCTGTGGTATATGAAGTAACATCAATGTGAATGACAAAAAAATTTATGACACTAATTTTATATCATTGTGACTTTGGTTTCCATACACTTTAAGTACTTCTTACGGTGGCCGAGAAGTGCAAAGCAGATCACAATTCTGAAAACAAAATAACAAATTACAAACACAAATGCAAGTCTAAAAAACAAAATAACAATTCAGAAAGCACAACAACAATTCAGAAAACATTATAACAAGTCAGAAAACACAATGACAAATTCGAAAACAAAATAACAAGTCAGAAAACACAACGACAAATCCGAAAACAAATTAACAAGTCAGAAAACACAACGACAAATCAGACAAACCGGAAAAGGTAGGTATAGTTTGAGACAGCACCATTGGTTTGGGATTACTCACGCTGACTGGACGAGACATCTGTCAGTCAAGGTATACATGAAGAACCAGCCGAAGAACAGCAGAGTCCTGGTAGAAAGTTCGGAGATGGTATTAAAGTAGCTCAGTTTAAATGCATTGTATGAATTGCCCTTACTATGGAATAAAAAATACGGAGAGTCTACATTTAGTTAAAAGTGGCTGTAAAACATCAGCTCCATTGGCGCAGATGGATAAGCACGTGCCCTTGGCTTTTTGACATGATCGACCCGGGTTCGATCCCGCCTTTTGCCAAACTTTTTTTCCCTCCCTTTTCAAATCTCATATCGCATTGGAAAGGCATTTATTTTAATAAAGATGAAGGAAATAATCGAAAAGTTGAAAATAAAGTATCGGGTAGGGTTAGGGTAGGTGTAGAGAGGGCTTTATTGTACCAATAAGGTGGCATCCATTTAATAATTAAAATTAAAATTATAATTTACACTCAATACGTTATTATTGCATACTGTTTTATAATGTACTACAATACTGAAGTGCAGATAATTGCCACTATTTGCAACAAGTAGTATACTTGATAGTAGAAAAGACTGTAAGTACGTTTTTTATATTTAAAGAGTTTTTATACTTTATATTTTTTATATTTAAAGCGAGTTTTTCTGGCAGTGTAGAGTAGGGCTTGTTGTTTGTCATTTCTCCGATCACAAATGCAGACATGGTTTTATGTTTACTGACCCCTTTAACAACAATTCGGGACAAATATAATGTAATTTATATGTAATTTGTAATAATATAATAATGTAATTTGGAAAACTATGTGAATGGTGCTCTGTGGCGTGGCAGGATTTTCTGTCGGCTGCATTTAAATCCGCATCTGAAGTTTCTCACTCTGTGCAGTGCACAGTCTCACGTGTCAAAACAATCAACACGAGGTGTCAGTGATTTCCGCCTCTAGAGGCCGCTCTCCTACTGTATAATGACAATGGCCCCTTCTCAGCCGCTCC